GTATTATCATGCTTGTTTTTTAATTATTTTCGGATCATTATTGATCTAAAAAAGTTATTCGGCCCAACAGTGGTCCAAATATGAATTCTTTTTTTTTTTTCTTTCAATGTTTTATATTTATTTATGAGCTTTATTCTTGATTTATTATTTCAATTATTATGCTATTTGTTAGTTTGTCATTATCATTATGTTTATTTTATTTTTCATTTCTTCTATTGTCATAATTATATTTATTTTATTTAATATATTAATCTTAATTTATTAAATGCTATAATTAAATTATGCATAGTGTTTTTCTTTTTTCTTTTTTTATAATTTGGTTGATATTTTCTACTTTATAATTATATAAGTATATTTATTTTATTTAAAATGTTAATATTGATCTATTAAAAATGTTAATTACATACTAATTAAATAATATAATTATTATACCTGTATTTTTTTGTTTTTTCTTAATTATTTTCGAACCACAACCGATCTGAAAAAGTTATTCGGACCAACAATGGTCCAAATATGAATTCCTGTTTTTTTTCTTTCAATGCTTTACATTTATTTATGAGTTTTATTATTTCTTTATTATTTCAATTATTATGCTATTTGTTAATTTATGTCACTATCATTATATTTATTTTATTTTGCATGTCTTATATTGTCATAATTATATTCATTTTATTTAATATATTGTCACGCCCCAGAACTCAAATCCGAGGACGTGGCAGACGCCGTGCACTCATGAATGCGTCCCACAAATGCACAAGGTTCGGAACTTTATCATACCACAAAATCTGAAGATAAAATTATAAAATTTGCTCTAATATCATAAAATCTCAAAATAAAGTCTAGCTTACTAGATCATGATTTATATCTAAAATCTATGTTCAATTTACAAGATGACTAGCCTTCTAACTCGTCACTCCCCTCATTTTTCCCTGTCCTTGACTTTGCTTTCTAAAATGGTGGACAAGGAAAAACTATGAGATAACCCAATAAATAAACATGGATAGCCCTTAATTAAACTTATAGCATACCAACAAATATAATCACAAAAAACAGATACGAGTACGGAAATGAAATAGACATCTCCTTTATGGGTCATGGCCAGTGTTATAAACCTCCCACTAGCAGGCACACGATTTACTAGTATATAATCCCACTAGCAGGATTACAAAAATACCAATGTTTAACAACTCCCACTGACAGGAGGAATCGGCTCTACAGAAATACATGTCGACATGTGCTACATTTATAAACCTCCCACCAGTGGGCACACGAATAAAATGACCATATCGGAGACAAAACCAAATAGAAGTTAACAGGAAATCATAATTCACAAATAATTTCTAGATCATCAAGGCAGTAAAGTAAACTCCAAGAAGGCATGCTCAAATCAATAAAAAGAATAATAATTTCATTTCAAATCAATCATGCTCAGTGCTAATAAAATCAATTTAAACCTTACCACCATCTCAAAAACAATTTAAAATATGCTTTGAAATCGAAGGGCGTTACCATAATTTACTTACCTCAAATCGCATAAACCGAGGACTCAATCCAAGTGCTCTAAGCCATAACAGCACCTAATATTTCAAATAAATACATTCAGACTTTACTAGAATTATTAGCACAACCTCGCAAATTTACTAACCGATGAGCTTCACACGAAATTCAACCATAACATAAAACTCCCTTTTTCTCAATCGTATATCTCCCCAAAATCCCAAATATTTTTAAGTAAAATTATGATATCCAAAAATTCTCTTAAACAAGAGGTTTTAGAGCCAAATTTGCTAATTTGGTTTCCCAATCCCACAAACACAAAAATGGAGAAAAAAGGCCTTTATTTCAATTATCTATCTTGGCAAAACCGCATGTCACACGGGATTTCCATATAAACATCACAGCAGCTAATTAACACTCAATCACATAAATTCCACTTGAATTAATGCTTAAATTTTGTTCTAATTCTACCCAAATTCATCCCCCTAATTTTGCAAACATTTGGACCATGCAAGGCAACAATTTCAGGGATAAACTCAACAACTAAAGGGGTAATTTGGACTTAGATTGAGCTGTCACATACCAGAATTTCCAACAAGCAAATTGAAGCTGCAGATTGGGGGAATTGCCGGCGGGAAGTGCAGAAAATTTTGGGGCTCTACCGAAAATTGGAGAACCAAAAGAAATTAGAGTAAACCCAAGCCAATTAAAGCTGGAGAAAGGAGATTCATGGCTGTTCTTACTGAAAAGCTCAGAAATTTCGCACCCACATAGCAGAAACCAACGGACAGGGGAGGAAGAGCAGAGCAGATCTGGAAATTTCTCTGCAGGGGGAAGATTTCTGAGTTCTATATGTGTTCTAGAACAAGAAAAGAAGGAGAAATCCCCAAGCTTTTACCGATTTTTCAGCCGGAGATGGGTGGCGGCAGCTGGGAGGCTTTGGCCGGTTGCTGGGGGGTTGGGAAGAGTAGGAGCACACGGGTTGAGGAAGAAAGACAGAAGAAAAAGATCACCCGATCCTTATCCCCTTTTTCCAAATTTTTACTCTTTTAAATCCCTCAAGTTTCGAAATATTCACTATTAGGCCCCAAACAATATTTTTCCCAAAATAAGTCCCTAACTTAAATGATAAAATTCCTGAAATTTTGGGATATTACATTCACCCCTCTTGAAAAGGAGTTTTGTCCCCAAAACTCAAATTGAGGATCATCTAAACTGGTGAATGGTTTCACACAAGCCAAGGCAAAACAAATGCCCCATTA